AAAAAAAAATAAAACATATGGCGAGACCCCGCACATGTGAAAAGCAAATTGCTATTTACACATCACAGTTTTTAATCCCACCACAAAATACTCTAGAGCCCCTGCTTTACAAAGTTTGAGGCCAACTTTTTAAAGACTTGTTCCATAACTGTACAAAGTTAAAGGATTTAACATTGACCTTCAGTGGATTCTCAGCAGGGTCTGTGATCCAGTATGGAACCACTGGACAGCGTCCTTATGATTTCTGCTATTGCCTGGGAGTGATGGGAACCACCTAAACAGATGCAGTCATCAGACCCTTCACTGACAAGAGCCCAGTGAAGTTAGAAGGACTTTGAAGATGGCTCCAGGTTCTTGGAATTCTCTCCTCATTGATCCTACTTCAGAACCATTGCATTGTTCTCGCTACCTACTCAAAGTTTTCATGACTTTGGAGTAATCCTCCAACTAAATATGCTAAGAGCACACTTTTAAAGTATTGTGTTGGTTCCCACAGTCTGTATTATGTGTTTTGACACTTGTAAAGAATGACACCCAGAAGCAAAAAACAAACAACAAAAAAATCACTGAAGGACAGATCTACATAAATATAACAATATTTCAAGTCCATAAAGAGAAAGAAAATATAATGATGGTGTCAAGAATCCCCAAATCCATGAGGAAATTCAAAACTATGTGACAAGCTTTGCCTGTTAATACATATTAGTTGAATCTTGTATGTTTTCTTGAATGAGTTGCTTTGTTGCACACAAAATGTGTTCATTTTTCAAGGCACACACATTGATGTATAGTTCATTGATTATAGTTGTCACTTTTATAAATGTGTGGAGTTCATCTGTCCATTTTACTATTGACAGACACTTGGATCATTTCTCTCTCTTTTCTTCTTGTCATATACAGCACTATCATGAATCATCTTACTATTATTCTTTTGTTCAACAGATTGTCTAGGAAGAGCCTATTAGTAGAACTTTCTGTTGTGATGGAAATGACCTCTGTCTGAGCTGTCCACTACAGTAGTTACTGAAACTACATGTACATGTCAAGTATTTGGGTTGTGGGTAGGGCAACTGAAGAACTGAACTTTAAAGTTTATTTAATTTTACTTTATGTTTAAAGAGTCACAATTGGCTAGTAACTGTTATATTTAACAAGAGCAAGTAGAGGAATAAAATTGCTCCTTAGTAGTCAGAAAAGACTGTAGCAATGTTACATAATGTCAATTTGTTACTCCAGTGACTTGCCCAAGTCAGCAAAGGTTCTTGTCTCAAATCCTTGCCAATGCTTGTGTTACTTGACTTTTGGGGATGTTGGATGAATTTGGGAGGCTCTCTTTTCTGTCGTTCTTCCTTACTTATTTCTAAGGTCTTTCAGGAGAGTATGAGGACAGTGTCTGGACAAAAGGTATGGTTTGGGTTGAGAACCTCTGTTTTTAAAGTACTATTTTGGCTCCCATACTCTATGTTATGTATTTGACCCATGTAGAGCATGCCAGCATGAGCAAAAATCAAACAAAAAAAATTATTGAAGGACAAGAAAAGAGAACTACATAAACATGGCAACATTTCAAGTCCACAGAAGGGAAGATAGTATAATAAATGTATCAATAATCCCCCAATCTGTGATGAAAATCAATAAAACTTCAATCACACTCCTAGAAGGACTTTCAACAGAAAGTAAAAAAATGATCCTCAAATGTATATGTAGGAGTAAAAGATTGAGAATAATAGCCTGGGATACTCTTGGAAAGTAATTACATGTAAGACTTTTGGGACAAAATACTAAAATCTGTTTAAAAATCAGTAATTTTCCAGACATCATAGTATTGTCGCAGGAATAAGTCCACAGACTAGAACAGAGCATGGAAAAAGATTTAAACAGATACAACACATTGAGATAAAACAACTGGCATCGCAGATCATGGAGGAAATAATGAACACTTTAATAAATGATGCTAGGATCATTTGCTAGTAATACTGATTGCCTACTTCATACTTTATGCAAAAATCAAATCCAGATCGATGAAAGGCTTCATATGAAAGAACAATTTTGAAACTGTCTGAAAGACTCCTGGGA